ACCCACTTCCGGCCCGCCGATCGCCTCTTCCGGTGCACGCCCCGCTGTGGCAAATCTAGACGCGGGAGGACGGCCGACTCTATGGTCTCCTCTTCGCCCTCTCGCCGGTCTAGACTCCGGAGGACCTCCAACTCTATGGTCCCCTCCAGCCATTAGTCTAGGCGGGCAGGAGCCCCCGGTCCTGACAGTCCCCGGTCCTGGCTGCCCCGGTCCTGACTGTCCCCGGTCCTGGCTGCCCCGGTCCTGGCTGGGGTGGACAGCCTCTCCGCCTGCCTGTCAACACTCAAGGGAAGCTGTTCGCTGACTTCACGGTGACTGGCCCTAAGGACCTGGCACAGACAGGTGCCCAAGAAATACCCAATAAGCAATGTTAGTGGTCAACAGAGTGAAAAGGCAACCCACAGAATGGGAGAAAATTTTTGAAAATCATATATCTGATAAGGGGTTAATATCCAGAATGCGTAGATAATCCTAAAAATCAACAACAAAAACCAAGCAGCCTAATTTAAAAAATCAGCAAAGGACTTGAGTAGACATTTCTCAAAACAGTTATATAAATGGCCAGTAAACCCATGAAAAGATGCTCAACGTCACCGATCTTCAGAAAAATGCAAACCACAGCACCATGAGCTACCATGGCACACCCATCAGGGTGGCCACCACCAGAACCTCCGGTTAGTAGCAAAGGTTGGTGGGGAGACCGGAACTCTTGTGCACTGTTGGTCGGAAGGTACAGTGGTGCAGCTGTTGTTGAAAACAGTACAGAAGTTCCTTAAAATTAAACGTGGACTTACTGTATGATCTGGTAAATCCACTTCTGGGCATATACCCAAAGGAACTGAAAGCAGGGTCTCGAGGACATATTTGTATACTTACGTTCACAGCAACATTTGTCACAACAGCCAAAATGTAGAAGCAATTCAGGTAGACATCCAGCAACATCTGAATAGCTAAGCAAAATGTGGTCCATCCATACAATCGAGTATTATTCTGCCTTTAGAAGGAAGGAAGTCTGACACTGGCTACAAAATGGATCAACTTTGAGGACGTCCTTAGTGAAATGAGCCAGTCACAAAAGGAGAAACACTGTATGCGTCCACTTACATGAGGTTCTTGGGGTGGTCAAATTCAGAGACAAAGTCGAATGGGCCTGGCGGGGGGTGGGGGATGAGGAGCTAGTGTTTAACGGGCACGTTGGGGAAGATGGCAGAGTCTGGATCGGCTGCATCACGGATTGTGCATTGATGCATCACAATGGTTGCATTACAAAGTGAATGCACTTAATGCCTCTTAAAAATAGTTAAGATAGTAAATTCATGTTATATGTATTTTATAAGTTTCCAAAAAGAATGTGAATGAGGGAGGAGGGCAGGAAGGAGGGGGAAAGAAGGGTGGGCAAGGAAAGCATGAGACAGCTGAGCTAGACTGTTAGGAGTAGGTAGGCTTGGAGGCTGGGCTGTTATAGAAATGGGGGGAGGGGGAGGGGGCTCCAGGGAGACCAGGATTGAGCCGAGATGGAGCACGAACTGTGGCCTGGGTCAGGTGTGGGTGGACAGTGCAGGGCCCAGGGAGAAGGGGAAAGTGAGCCTCCGACGTCACCAAGACACGAGTCACCCCAGCTGCCTGGGTGAAAGTCAGACCAATGAAAGCAGAGTCCATGGCACTGACAGGCTCCTCTTCTGCGCGGTTTCAAAACATGGGGCCCCTGTCCTCGTGGAGGGGAGAGCAGGGCGCAGGGCCAGCCCCAGAGGACACTGATGTTTATGGAGGAGGAGAGCCAGGGATGGCGATGTCACAGAGGTGACAGGACAGGGTGGATCGGGGGTGCCCTTGAGAGTGCCGGGGGGTCGGGGTTGTCGCCAGGTGGTCATATCCAGGCCACATCCTTCGAGAGTGAAAGGGCCCTATTCGTGACTGCGCCGGTAACAGGTGTAGACAAGGAATGTCACCTGCCATCTCAGTAAACAAAGGACGCTGAGGCCATCAAGCCATCAGCCACTGCAGCCCTGGACTGCGTCCCCTGAAGGGACCCAGGATGGAGAAGGCAGGACACTGGCCCCAAGCAGCTAAGGTGCACGTGGAAGGAATGATTCAGTGAGTCCAGACTCTTGCATCTTCCTATACATAGAAAGTTGCTAAGTTCATGTCTGATTTTCTTTAATTAGCAGTAATCTTTAATGTTCCAGCTACCTGGGGTGTTTCTGCAAAACTTCCTGTGTACCCCAGTTCCTTCCTTGCCTCTCCGGAGCTGAGAGGCTGTGTCCCGGGAGTCAGCCCTCAGTGAGTCTGCCAGGTGGAGCGGAATGCTCAACTCTTAGCTCGTGCTTTTCATTCTTTCTTTCTTTTTTTTTTTCAGTTGACTCAGGCATCGGCTGCTGGGCACGGTGGGCGTGTGGTCCCCCAGGCCACCCCTGACCGAGGCTGGGAGGGGAAGACCTTGGCTGTGGGTGATGCTTGCTGGACTCCAGGGAGGAGGGCTGAGGGGCAAAGGGGCTGAGGATGTGGACGGGAGGTGGAGGGTCCCGACCAGGTCTGACTTTGAGGGGAAACCAGGAGGGGGTGCACAGCAGAGAACTGAGGCTGTGTGTACGGAGGTGAACGGGGTGGGTGACGGCCAAGTCGGAGTCCTGAACATGGAGTGAGGCGTCCCTGGGGCCACGGGGCAGGCAGGGCGTCTGCGGACGGCTGCTTGGGGCGGGCATTTCTTCTGAGAAAAGAGGGGGGACGACCGGGCCTGTGAAGACACCGAGTGCAGCTGTGAGAGTCACTGAGGGGACAGAGTTCCGGCCAGGACTCCCTGGGGCTTCCCCTGAAGGCATGCAGGGTTGCGGTCCCCTGAGCAGCCTGTAGGGAAGCTGGGCTGTCCATTCTCTGATGCTTGATGTAACTTGGGTTGTGAAAAGCCAAGTGGCGTGTAAATGTCCACACACACACACTCACAGGTCAACCATGGAAACCTGCGGTCCAGGGAGTGAGGGAGCCTTTGGTCTGACACCTTCGGCTGAGGCCAAGCTGCCCGCCATGGGCCTGTATGAGACAGGACCTTTTTGGTTCGGTTGTCATGCAGTGAATTTACAGAAACAAATTCAAACTAGCTCAAGGGGGAAAGGAGACAAAGAATGCAGTGCTTTTCCCCAAAGCGACTGGCTAAGCCAGCGGAGTCTTCCTCTTGAGAATTTGAGCTGGGACACGGGGAGGGACCTGCCCGTTGGCCACAGGAGGTGGAGGTGAGGGCGGAGGGCTGGAGCCAGGGGGCGGCCATGGGGGCCACTGAGGTCAGTGCCTGGACGCTCGGGCCCTCCGCCTCCCCGGGTCCCTCCCAGCCCGGCCAGGTGTCTGTGCCGGGGTCCCAGGAGGGTACCCCCCGACCCCGCCCGTCGCTCTGAGAACCCTCAGAATAACCCCTTGTGGCTTGACACCTGCGAGGCCGGCCTGCAGGCCCTCGGGACCGGCCGCAGGACGAGCGCCAGCCCCTCCCGGGTCCCCAGCACGCAACGCGCCGCTCCGGAGTTCCGCAAAACCGTGCACGCTTCTTACCAGGCGTGATGGTTTCTGTCGTTCGGTGTCAGGGCAACTATTAGTGTCTCTAGTTAAATAGGGAGCGTTTCTATCGTTTCATTTTAAAAGAAAAGCTGGCTGCGGCCCCTGGAACCGATTTCGTCACCATGTGCCGGGGTGTGAGCTGCAGCCGGCAGAGCGCGGTCCCAGGGAGGAAGGACGGTCCCCGAGACCCCGTCCGGCTCCCTGCCATCCTTCACCTCCCACCGGCCAGGGCGGGCAGCCCCTCTTCCCACCAAGTCCCCGAGCCGCAGCGCTGGCACCCGTGTTCCCAGGACCGTCAGCCTGCAGACCCCGCGCCCAGGGCCCCAGCGTCCTCACCGCCGGCTCTGACCCTGCTGTGCACTGACTCGGGAGGGCGCCGGGGGTGAGGGGTGGTGCCTCCGGCCCGGGGTGGCTGCTGCGGGTCTGGCTGCTGCCCAGCCAGGTGGCCAAGGGTGGGGGCTCCGGGACACGGCTGCCTGGACAGGGTCCGGGTCCCCTCAACAAGCCGGGCAGTTCCCTGGTGTCTGTTTCCCCCACCTACACGCCAGGGCGCCCTCCTAGGCTCGGTGTGAGGATTAGGGGGGAGGGCAGCTGGTGCCCTGTGGACAGAAGTCGCACACGAGCCTGTCCAGGAAGCGTTCCCTGACAGTCATGGGGGCCAGGCTGACTCGCAAATGAGAGAGTAAGTACAGCTTCTGGAAAGAAAACCAGGGTGTGTGTCATGCACTTGAGTCAGGAGTTTATTGAGTGCGAGGCTGGCCTGGCTCCCCCGGGGTGGGGGCCCTGCCCGCCCGGGACCTCACTCCTCCCGGTAGGGGACGTGGAAGCCCAGGGTGGTCCCCAGGGGGAAGTGGGCAAAGAAGGTGCGGGCCATGTCCTCCAGCTGGGGGTAGGCCCCCAGGGCCTGGAGTTCCTGCACGTAGTTCCAGAAGTCGGAGGTGGAGAAAGGCCAGTAGGGCATGGCCGGCAGCTCCGCGTAGGGGTCTGGAGGGTAGGACAGCCTGGCTCAGGGGCTGGGCCACCCCGTCCCATCCCACCCGGAGGCACCCAAGCCTGGTCATCCGAGACACAGTGGGGGTAACCCAGGCCCTGACCCTCAGGACCCCTGGTCTAGGGGACAAAGAGGGGAGAAGGAGGGGAGTCTGGCCCCTGGCCTGGGGATACTGAGCAGGGAAACACCCTGGTGGGGATGTGGGGGCATCCAGGCGGGATTTCAGAGGAGACCACAGCTCCCAGCCTTGGAGTCTGATGCTCTGCACTGAGGTGGGGCTAGGGGTCTGCGCAGGGGAATGCCCCAGGTCCTCGGAGGCTCATGGGGCCCTTCCTGCCCCATATGTCCCCCGTGGCTGGAGGACGGGGCCCAGGAAAGAGGCTCCAATCCCTCTGCCTGTGTGGCTCCTGGTGCCACCCAACCCCTCCCCTTCCCCATCCCCACCCCAGACATGCGCAAGACCAGAAGTGGGAGAGCAGTTCGTACCTCCTTCCTCCTGCACAGGCTTGGCCCCTGCAACAGAAGGGGAGAGCAGTCACCCCAGAGGGCCCCCAGGGCAGGACCCCCCTGCCCAGTAGTGCCCCAGTGCCCCAGAGGATGATGGGAGAGCAGCAGGAACAGCACAGGTGGACAGAGCAGCCCCTCACCTGCCAGAGGCCCCAGCAGGAGGCAGAGGGCCAGCCCAGGCACCAGGCAGGACCTCATCTTCCCAGGCCTGTCCCCCACTGACCGACGGCACTCAGGTCCACCTGCAGCAGGAGGAACCTAGACAGGCGAGACCACCCAGCCCTCAGGTCCCCGGCTTCTTCCCACCACGCCTCAGTGGGCAGCTCCCGGGAAAACAGCCCCGAGAAGCAGACAAGTTCTTAGTGTTTTTATGGCAATGTCGATTTCAGTGGCTTCAAACCATTCTTCTGAGGCTAAACCCAGAATTCGGTTGGCCTTGTTTAATGTCACTATTTTTAAGGGACTTCCCCGGCATCTGCCCTAGGGTACGGTCTGCCCGCCCCGAGGTTACCTGCAGCTCCGGCCCCTCAGCCTCCTCTGGGCAGCCTAATGGACGTCTGCTGCCAACACACGGGCGCCTCTTTATAACAGGCCGGGGATGGGGGCGGGGGGAGCAGGGTACCACCTCTGCGAACTGTCACACTGAATGTTTCATCCCCAGCCAGAGGACTGAGGGCTTCTGTGACCCTGCTGGCAGCAGGCGTCCACTTCTGGGAATCTGATCCAAAGATCAAATGAAGAGAAAAACATTTTTGCACGGGCCTAAGGTTTTTAGGACTGAATTCAACACTGGCACTCAAAATAAACCCGCTTTCCTGTTCACCGGGAGAGGCTGTTTCTGGCAAAGAAGACCCAGCAGAATGTAGGGCTTCGGATCTCAGCTCCACCAGGACCTGCTCACGTGTCCGCACCCAGGTGACGAGGGCTGCTCTTCCCTGAAAACGCCGTGACCTCCAGGGAGGGTCCCTGCGAGGTCATCTGTCCACCCGCGCTGCTGCCCCGAGCCAGATTGAATGTTGGGTTTTATTTTCTGAAATCTGGATCCTATGCCTACAAAGGGCAAGTTACTTTAGGGGAGCTGTACTGGGGTCCTCAGGTGGGCACTGGGCAACTG